GGCATGTTAATCTTCAATTATAATAAAACATAAATGACGGAATGTTCTCTCAACTTGGCACTATTTTTCTTTGTTGTAATTTAAATGTCATTTCATAGCTACAGTGACAATGGTTCAAAAATCTGTCTGCAAGAATAAAAAAAAAAAATACCAAGGAGTGCAAATGCTTTTGCAAATGACCCTGAGTTAATTAGAAAAATCTGCACCCTTACCAGTTCTTCTCACGTGTCAGCTCTCATTAAATTAAAACAAAAACAAAAACAAAAAAACCCCTCTCATTTCAAAGTTAAGAAATTTTATGGTTAACAAGACTTTTAAACTGGGATCAAGTGGGCACATTCCTACATTTCTGTATGATGTCATACTAAATACTTCACAGCTGAATTCAAATTTGCAAGAAGTATGAATGATTTTTCAATATAAGAAGTATCTGATCTAATGCTAATTTTTTCTCTATAGGCTAACTGTACTGGAAACAGGTGGCCCTGCTTTCAATTACAGAGGGCTAGCATGCCAGTGTGAGGCCTGGATTAGTTCACCTTCTCACGGGGAATTTTCCTCGGTTGGGAATGGATTTATTATGGCTTCACACATGGAATAGAGCTCATGTCAGCTGAGGGCAGTGACACATCATATGATTCAAATTAACCTGCTGTGGACTGTTCCGCAGGGCTTAGATTGTGTATTAAAATGACGACATTTTAAAAACAGCTTGAAAGAAACCAGGATTGCTGAACTGTGATGGTTCCAATTTGTTCCAACTAATCTATCACCTGCTGGAGATATTATTCTAGTTGGTTTCTGGTAGCTGCTGTTTTCCAGGTTTCTCCAAGCCACTGACCTTGCTAATGGGTACAATTGTTGCCTCTGAAGGAAGGAGTTGGGGGTTGGAAGAGCTTTTGAGGAGTTTTTGATGTATTACTTGGGACCTACCATTTGCTCTAAGGCACTTAAGTGAACAGAGGAAATAAGAGAATACTTGAGAAGTCTGAATTATTTTTCCAAAAACAAATGCTAAAGCGCAGCATTTGTATCACCTTGTTTAGAGAAAATAACCCCTGACAAATAAGTCTGAAAAGCTAAATTCAAAAGCTGTTAAATTCCTATCTTTTTGAAGAAAATTGAAGGTTAGACAGTTATAATCAGTATTTCCTCTACCTTTCAGGGTCATAACTTTTATTGTTAACATAACCTTAATTCAAGAGCCAGAAGAGAGTAAATGGAAATAAATTATAGATGTAGCATAAGACATTCTTTGGGAATGATAATTAAATAGATGTGCATATATATTTAAAAAACTAATGGTAGCAAAAGATTCTTGATGATATCACTTAACGATAATATTGTATAAAAATGAGAAGTATTATTTGTAATATCATTTCTAATGCTTCTTTTTATTTTTTAAGGGAAGGAAATGATATTAGGGAATACTATAAAGCTGAAGTTTGTTCTCCCAGTCTCAGCATAAATGATATTCCTCCTAGTATCCTATCAACTAAAATCTGGAAAAAATATAATTTTTGAAAAATAATAAGTTCAATGGCAAAAAAAGTTTTAATGTATCCATATCCTGTTATTCCCATTTAATTAGTGCTGTGCAAGTCCTACCATTTGCTATAGCTTTTTGATTTCTAAATTAATATAGAGTGGTAATCTGGCTGAAGAGTGAGAGAATACAATTATTCTCTGAAATAACATCTACTTATCTACTCTAAATGACAAATTGTTTACAGTAAGAAAATTTTTATCTGAGATAGTAAATTCTGGGGCAGTTCGAGGCTGTTAGGTTAGTATTTCAGCAGCAATCCCACACAGCTGATACATAATTCAAATTAATCTTCCCTCAAATAAAAACAAAATAAAAGCACTTTTGGTTAAAATGTTTTAGACTTTGAAGAACTTATTCACTGAACATTATATTTGATTTTACATGATAAAAGCACCACTCTAAAAACCATTCATCTTTCTTTTTCCATTCCCTTCTGTGCCCCCAAATATCTCCAATTTATCCCTAAAACCTGTAGTTGATGCTCTTGGAAAATCACATATGATAAAAATCATACATATGAGTGTAAAAAATAATTTTAATAAATCATATAAAACCTTGCTACAAAAACTATAGTCCACAGACCAATATCATCCACCTCACCTGGGAGCTTGTTAGCAATGTAGATTTTCAAGCCCTACCTTCTTGAACTATTAAATCACTATTTGCTTTTCAACAAATCCTTCAGAGATGTTTCAAATGCAGACTCAAGTTTGTGAAGAACTGCTGTAAAATAACTATTTCAATACATTTATTTAAAATTTTAAAAGTAAAATAACTATTTCAATTCATTTACTTAAAAATCTGAATCTTCACTGGTTAGCTCAGTTGGTTAGAGCACAGTGACACCAAGGTCAAGGATACTGATACCCATATTGGCCAGCCACCAAAAAAAAAAAAAAAAAGAAAGTTTGAATCTCCAAATATATTATCACTGTTATTGAGTGAACATAAAATCAGAAATGGTATATATCTAATTCCCAATTTTGAAAAGTATCTTTAGAAACACAAAAGTATACCTACTTTAAAATCACATTTCTAATACACAGTCACACTAAATGGTAAAATTATAAATACATATTTTTTCATTAATTTATGGGCATTTCTCTTAAAATTCAATTCATTTGGTTGCCTTGAAAATATGGCACTCAATTTACCATCTACTTGCAAATCCCATCCCTTTTACAAACAAATCAAACTGTAAACTACAAGAGAACTTTCCAGTAAAAGTGAGTGAAAGACCGTGCCTAAAAACAAAAGAAACTTAAAACTAAAAATGAGAAATAAGAGGTAACCCCAAGTTTCCCTGTTATTCCTTCATGAACTAGCCAGATGTTCTTACTCTATTTCACCTATTTTAACATGTTCAGTCTTTCACGTGTAAACAACTCTGAAATTAGGAAGTGTCTTGCCACTGATGTAAAAGCACTGTATTATACAGTTTAAATGGCAGATGTTCTTCCTTTTTTCTTAGTGGTACATAAAATGTTTCTTCCTACGATTGATGGTAGCTGGATTCAATAATACATGGTCCTTCACACTCACTAGCCAAGTACTAGGACTCAGACTCCTCCAATCCATCTATTACCATACCCCACAGGCTTCTTCCAGCACTTCTACTCCCTTATCCTTCATCAAGTTTCTCACTTTCCTTCCAATATTTAAAACCATGTCTAGGTATTTATCATGATTATAAATAGTTTTTTATACTTCCACACCTTTTAAATCTCAACACTGAAGAAAAATGCTTAAGAACTGGGCCTCAGTGAAAGGAGCAGTGTAGGCGGTCCGAGGCTCTGTTATTCCAGACATCATGACTGCCCTTCTTTTCCATCTGTAGTCATAGATCACAAATGCACTGGCATGCCGTAACAAACATACTCAGAAAGATCCACATGCAAATATTTTTCCCTCATCAAAACTGATGCCTTGCAGAGTATTGCTAGAGATCTTAAGACAGTGTAACATCATTTTTAAAAATTCTTTTACTTATTTTTTAATTCTTTTTTTTAACTTTTTTTTTTTACTTATCTATCTCTTATTGCTAATTTTTTTAATTGAAACATAATAATTATATATATTTGTAGGGTACAGATTTGAGCATCAATACATGTGTATAATACGTGGTGATCAAATCAGGATAATTAGTATACTCATGTTTATAAAACGTAATGGATCTTCATGACCCTTAACTAATTTCTGCTAACCTCCCTCCCCTTCCCCTATGTCTAATAACCACAATTCTGTTCTCTTTTTTTTTTTTTTTGAAGGTTCAATGTGTTATTGTGATTCTTTCTTTATTTTAGCTTCCATTAGGAGAGTTGGAATCAACCGTCCACTTACAGATGACAAGATAAGGAAAATGTGGTATATATACACAAAGGAATACTACTCTGCCATAAAAAAAGAATGAAATTCTGCCATTTGTAGCAACACAGATAAACTTAGAGAAAATTATGTTAAGTGAAATAAGCCAGGCACAGGAAGACTGCATGTTTTAAATTCTTAATGAAGAAACTAACCTTTGATGACTAACATATTCTGAAGCACTATATGAATAAAATAACAAAAGTTAAATGGAAATGTAGTAATTTCTGTTAAATAATTACCTAAGACTACACTGAAGTAAGGAAAGAAAATAGAAGGAAGAAAATGAGATGAAAGAAGATAAAAAGCAGGAAAACTGGGGAGGAGGAGGAGGAGGAGGAGGAGGAGAGGGAAAATTTTTAGTTATGCTAAAATCAGCATGGTACAGAAGTTAAGACATACTCTTTGGAGTCATGAAGATTTAGGTTTGAGTGGCTACTCTGTCACTTTGACCTCAGGTAAATTACTTCACTTTTCTTAGTCTTAGCTTCCTTATTCATAAAATAGGGATAATTATAATGCCTATTCCTTGGGTCTATTTGAGCATGAAAAGTACTTAGTGCCTTGGACATAATAAGCACTCAATACATTTTGATATCTGTATCTATCTGTCTAAAACTGCATGCTTGCTATGTCTCAAGTACTTCCCTAAGCACTTGATATAAATGTACTTAACTAATGTAACTATGCACATTATTTCATGGATGTGTATCATGTATCCTATACATCCATCCATCTTATTCTCTTCATATACAGGTAAGGAAACTGAGGCACAGAAGATTAGATCAACTGCCTAAGATTACAGTTACTTAATAGAAAAGGTAGAAATAAAATATTGGATTTTTGGCTTCCAGTCAACTACTCTTTAACTGATAACTACTTTTTGTCAGACTGAAGGCAATTTCAATGTATATTTATATTTGCCTTTTGATCTGTAGAATGGGCAGCGTGAAAAGAGTACACTTCTGGAAAATAAATGAACTATTCATTTTTGGCAAGACTGTCAAGATTACTAAGAGATCCTAAATATATGTTAATATATCACATGAAAAAAGATGTATGCACACTTGAATTATGACTTTCTTACCTGGTCCATTAAGAAAGTCTTTAATTTGTAGTGTTATAAGGGAAGGTGGAATACCACTTTTGCTGTCTATTTCTCCAGGCACTGTCTGCAGCCAAACAGTGCAGTAATCAAGGGCTTCAGGCAGAGTCTTCCCAGGATCTAAAGCGACAAAATTGAAGTTAAAAACATCAGTTTCATCACAAACATCTAATTTTTGTGTATGACTTTGAGTTGATAAAATTAGAAGAGAAAAGAATGGTTAAATAAATGTATGCAACCTTCATTGTTTCATTTGTACACATATAGTACATGAGTACTTGTATCAAAAAAGATGAACTACCTCTGTACAAGATAGAATGATGAAGAAATGTTTTCTACAACCAGGCCAAAAAAGAATAGACATTTCAAATCTTAACTCATTATCTCTGAGTGAAGGCAAAGTTTCTGTACTCTGAGATGCTGACTTGTTAACAGTTTAATAGCTGGATTTTTTTTAAAAAATGTGATATTGGAAACGAATTAAAGAGAAAAAGGGCGACCTGGTCAGCTAAAAAAAAAAAAAAAAAAAGGCATATACGTGTTCAAACATACAGTGGATTAGTACTATTCAGGGGTTATTTGATCTGTTTCAGAGTTTTACTGACATTAGAATCACTTTTTACTGCTAGGCTTTTGAAGTTAACTTCAGTAGCTTTCCCATAACCTCCTTTAATGACAAAAATTGGTCAGTCTTTTAACAGTCCCAATTATGACTAAAACTTGAGTTTTTTCTGTTTCAACTTTTCCTGTTTAATACTATGTAGTTTTTACTTTTTCTGGTTAATACTGCATACTTTTTAATTAGTATTTTTTGTTATTGGTAATGGCAAACTGAATTTTCTTTTTAATGCTTGGAAATTCACAGTTTTTACAAAAATAGCTCTTTAAATAAAAATAACTGATGTATCCTGGCATACAGTTTAGGTTTTAAAACTTCTAAATATCCAGTTTTTCTTTAGTTTCATGATTGTTTTACTCTCTGTGTTTTAATGGCCTCTGAATGTCAATTTTATAAGGATGTTCTTGCCATAGAGTCCATCTATTCCATTTTCAGTCTATTTGAAATGTGTTCTTAAAGTGTTATTTATTCTAGGTTTTATTGATTGGATTGCTTTCAAGAATAGCATTTACATACAGTGTATTATATTCAACATATGGTTATATAGTATTACTGTCATATGTGAACTGGGCATATAAATTCTGCCTTGGAATTTGTATTTCTTGACCTTATCATGTGATTCTTATGATATTTGGCACATATGAACTTTTATGTAATTTCAAAGAAAATAGTGACAGCAATTGATCGTGACGTTAGATCTATGTGGTAAAGATCAAACACGAAGTTAGTGCATTCTTCTCTTTTTATATGATCAGTGAATTTAAAGCAGTGAGAATATGCATAGTAGATTCATTACATAGTGACACTATACTATTCTCTCTTTTAAATATAATGGCCAAGTCTGGTGAAAGGATGACAGGATCCTGTGGCTCACAGGATCTATAATCATTTTGCAGGAGCTATGTAAACTATTTCTAGGGTCTCACCTATGTAGCTATCACCAAAAATGATTATTATCAAGTAGGTGGTACTGTGCTAGATCTATAAGAGGAAACTCAATTCTTCATTTTGAAGAGAATACAATCTAGAGAGAGAACAATATCTAAAAGAGAAAACAGATGTAAGTGATATAACAAAATAGTGAACAGAAATGAATTAAATGGATGTAGATATACAATATAATGTGTAAAAAACTGGCAAGTAAAACAGGAAGATAAGTAAAACAAGTTATAGAAACTGCATATTCAAATGTATGGAGTTGGAAGAACAGTTATCCTTGTGGCATTTTAAAAATACAATCCATTTTCTATACTTTTCTAGGGATAGGGATTCTAAATAACAAAATAATGTATACTAAGTAATGTAAGTACAGTAACTATCATATTGTATATCACCAACGCTAAGACATCAAAACTACAAAATATATAAGACTGACATATATAACAATATAAAACTTTTGTCAAAGGCTACCATGAATAGAGTAAAAAGTCAAATAACAAAGAAAGACAAAATTGCAATGTATGTGACAGTGACAGTAATATATGAGCGTTTACGCAATCAATATAGTCAACACAGATACCAGGAGAAAAATAAGTGGATAAAATAAGCAATTAATAAAGAAAATTAATAAACAAAAACAATTTATAAATAAAAACAAATGATATATAAACACTTAAAAACATAAATATTAAAAGATATTAAATCTTAGCAATAATCAAAAAAACCCAATCTTTAAAAATAAGGTAGAATTTTTCACCTACATACGCTACAACTAAAAAAACTGGTAACGCCTGTGTTAGTGGCTTTTGGTGACAGGCTCACCACTATCCAATAGTGGTAGGCCTTTCTGAAGGGTAATTTTATAACATATAACAGATTTTAAAAGTGTATATCATTTGATCTAGCAATTTAACTTGTAGTAGTTTACTCCCAACATACCTCAGGCCAAAGAGAACCAGTCTCTCTAAGCAGCCACAGACACCACCTTGGTTCTATGACCATCTGGGGCAGGCCTGAACTCATTAGCTGTTGTAGACTAGATTATGCTTGTAATCCATAATAACAAGTCATTGGAGATTTCACGAAAAAGTTAATGAAATATATCGTCTGTTATTTCTCTTTTTTGAAAAAATCATAGTAGGTCCTCCGGACTTTCTGAAGCGATGAAATGGAGGCGCATATACACATACATAAGTTTTTTAGGACCTGGAGGATGTTCATCTTTTAGGATGGTTCTAAGCATATGATGATATATGGACCTATAAATTATTCACGCCTGAAGACAAAATAGGACTATTTACCAAGCATCTACAAAAATTAAAATAAAGGGGAAAGAAAAAAACACTTCAATGGATATTTGATGTCCTTTCCTCAGAGTATAAACTGGGGGAACAGCAAACTTTGATAATGAAAATGAGAGTTTTCTAGGTAGGTGAGGTCAGTTCTGTATAGGTGCCTCTTTTTTGGTACAAGTTAGAGGGCCTGGCCATCTGGCACCCAGCCTAGGTATCTGCCCTTAGCAATTACAGGGGGAAATGACTTAATAGGAGATAAAATAAACCAACTGACAACAGTAGAAAGAAGAAGAGAAACTGGGAATTAAAGCAACTGTAAAAGTCTAGGAAATCTATCCAAGGAAGCCAAAAATTTTAATGACTTTTCCCAACAAAAATTAGGACAATTCCTTTTAAAAGTATGCCTGAATTTATAGAGTTGATAAAAACAGAGTAACAGAAATTAGAGCCATCCAGAAAAATACAGGTTGCGTGGTTGATGAATATTGAAGTGCCATAAAAATTTGTTTATTTCAAAGTTAAATACTTACTATAAAGAGGACTAGAGTAAGACTCTAAACCGAAATCATTTTCCTCCTCACTCTCCATTCTTTTCTAAAGGGATACTTTTGGTAACACCAAGGTCAAGGGTTCGAATCCTCATACCAACCCCCCCCCCAAAAAAAACTATGCAATTTACAAATGAATAAATGATCAAAAAATATATATATAAAGGGATATTTTTTTATCAGCTATAGGTTAACAGTGGAATTATAATCTATGCCACTTTCTGCTTCTTCTTGGCTTAGTGGCATCTCTGCAAATGAATTAATTAAGGAATGGCAGGAAGAGAAGTTAGTCCATAGTTACTTTCCCTAGTAGTTTCAGGAAAAGTTTTTGTTGTTGTTGTGGGAGATGCAGGTAACTATTTTGTTCCCTTGATTCAATGTCCTTATACCGTTGTCTTTTACATTTCTGTGGCTATGAGTGCTAACAAATATGAAGCACTGTCAAGAACACTAAATTTCCCTATAGTGGAAAGTTCTTATAAACTTGTGCTACTGAAAAAAGTCTAGTTAAAATTTGGGGGATGAGCCCTGAAAAATAAACTTTTGATTAATTGTGTTTTAGTGTGCCTCATTTTAACCATGTTTTCTTCAGTAAGCAAACAGTCTGTCATCCTATATCTGATATTAGCTTCTCACTGTATTAATCTGATCCTGTTGCTGCTTGCAGTCCTGGGTAACAAAATCTTGCTCAATATTATCAACTTCTGAAATTACATTATGCTTTAATTCCCAATGTTACTGATGCTGTTAGCATTACTGATGATATATAAAATTAATGTTTTTCCAAACTACTATTACTGTAGATTCAAATTTCAATAACTTTTTGCTTTGATGTTATATTGCATTGTATTAAGTTTTCTGATACTACGTATGATAAAAACATCACAAATTCCTCAAAAGTATAGTAAGCCAAACACCGTGTGATGTAGCACTGCAAATAGCCTCAAGATTTACTTCTGCCTCCATTTTTATCATTTCCAGAAAGTCCAGAGAACCTACCATAATTGTTTTTTTAAAAAAACAGACTATATATTTCATCACCTTTTTTGTGAAATCTTCAATGACCTGTTATTATGGGGTTACAAGCATACTCTAGTCTACCACAGTGTTGGGAAAATAGAATAGTTTGGTCAGGGCCCTCACCTAGGGTCCAGTTGGGTGTGGTTCAGCATCTTTGTAAGCAAATTGTGTGTGTGTGTGTGTGTGTGTGTGGAGTTAGTGTGCACGTGCGCCAATGTATCTTTTTAGTTTTGTTACTGTTCTTGTGTTCTTCAGAGAGAAAAAGACAGAGAGATAGAGAGAAAAGAGAGAGGGAGGGAGGGAGAGACAGAGAGAGAGAGGGAGGGAGAGAGAGGGAGGGAGAGAGGGTGACAGAGAAAGAGCTAGAGAGAGAGAGAGAGACAGAGAGGCAGAGAGGGACAGAGAGAGAGAGACAGAGAGACAGAGAGAGAGACAGAGAGAGACAGAGAGACAGAGAGAGA